TTATTTAAACAGGGACACAGGAAGTACCTCCCTCTCTCGGGGAAGCTAGGAGCACTGCAGGAGGTAAGATTTTATCTCTGAGCTCTGACCTCTCGGCTTTTCTCTTTTACCTTGGCTCTGTGTTTCTTATTTTAATAATACGATTGGTTACATCTACACTGGATCATAAAGGGGTCTTTTGATATTTAATTTTTGTGAATTACTTTGTTTAATTAATTTTTTTTTGTTTTCAATACATGCTGACCACAGCTTTTCTCCCTCCACTCCTCTCAGTCCTCCCCACAATTCTCCGAGTCTTCCTATTCCTTTCTCCCTCAGATCCACTCATCTGCTTCCCTTCAGAAAAGAGCAGGTCTCTCAGATATATTTATTGAACATAGCATAATAAGATACACTAAGACTAGGCACAACCCTCATATCAAGATTGGGCATGGCCATTCAGTAGGAGGAAAAGGGTCCCAGGAGGAGATGAAAGAGTCAGAGACACCCCCTACACACACACACACACACACACACACACACACACACACACACACACACACACACACACATTATTAGGAGTCCCACAAAACACCTTGCTAACAACCATTACACATATGCAGAAGATCTAGCATGGACCAATGCAGGCTCTGTGATTGCTGTTTCAGTCTCTGTGAGTTGCTATGAATCCTGCTTAGTTGATATCTATGGGCCATGTTCTCCTGTGTCTTCAACCCCTTTAGCTTTTACAATCCTTCCCCCCTCTCTTCCACTGAGTTCCCTGACACAGTGAAGTGTCACAGTGAAGATCTCTAACTTGGGCTCTCTCCCTAATGTTTGACTGTGGGTCTGTGCATCTGCTCCCATCCTGATGCCAGAGGAATTCTCTCTGATGATGATTGAGCCAAACACCAATCTATGAATATATAAAGATTATCATTGGGAATCATTTTTTATTGATTTTTGTTTCTATCCTAGGTCTCTGGGCTATTCACTCTCTGATTCCTCCTCATTCAGGCAGTGTCAGGTTTGGACTTCCTGTCATGGCTTGTGCCTCGAGTTAGACCAGTCATTTGTTGGCCATTCCCACAAGCTCTGTGCCTGCACTGCCCAGCATAATTTTAGGCAGGATAGATCATAAGTTGAAGGTTTCATATCTGGGTTGGTATCCTAGTCTCACCACTGAAAGCCTTGTCTGATTACAGAGAATGGCTAGCTGAGACTCTGAAACCTCCATTGCTAGGAGTTGTCACTAGGGTCAACCTTGTAGACTCTTGGGAGTTTCTACTGCACTAGGTTTCTACATCACATACCCCCCAAAGTGGTGATATATTGCGTACCCTAATAAAATTTGCCTGAAGATCAGAGAACAGAAAAAGCCACTAGACTAAACATAGATTTGGATCTCTGTGAGTTCAGAGCCACCCTGGATTACATGAGATTGATTCAGTCTGGAAGAGAAACAGAGCCAGGCAGTGGTGGCATACACCTTTAATCCCAGTACTTGGGAATCACACACCTTTAATCCCAGCACTTGAGATCTCATGCCTCTGCTACCAGTATTTGGAAAGCACACACACCTTTAATTCCAGCACTAGGAAGGAAGGATTATGGCTGGGCAGAGAAATAATATAATAATAATATAAGGCGTGAGGAGACAGGAACTAAGTCCTTTCAGCTAGAGGCTTTTCAGCTGAGGACTTTCAGCTGAGGACTCAGAGGCTTTGAATCTGAGTGTTCGTGGAGATAGATTCTAACCTCCATTTTGGCCTGAGGATTCAGTAGTGGTGAGAAATGTCTCTGGTGGCTTGTGGCTTTGTTTCCTCTGTTCTTTTAGCATTTACTCCAATATCTGGCTCTGAGGTTTGTTTGTTTTTTTTATAATAAGACCATTGAGAAATTCTAGCAATGTCCTCCAAGTCCAATCATCTCTCCCTGTTCTCTGTCTCTCCTTCATTCCCCGACTTGAACTTGATCCCTCCTGTTCCCATTCCTACCTGTTCCCTCCTACCCCTCCCCCCACCCCCACCCCCTCACCCCCCACCATGCGCACCATCCACTCACAGGATCTATTCTATTTTCCCTTTCTAAGGAGATCCATGTGTCTCCCCCTTAAGGCCCAACTTGTTATTTAGACTTTCTGGGCCTGGAGATTGTAGCAAGACTATCATTTACTTAACAGCTAATATCGACTTGTAAGTGAGTACGTACCATGTTTGTCTTTCTGGGTCTGGGTCACCTTACTCGGAATGATTTTTTTCTAGTTCCATTCATTGCCTGCAAACTTCATGACATTTTTAAACAGCTAAGTAATACTCCTCATTTTTTTTTTCATTTTTTTTTGGGGGGGGGTGTTGAGGAACATGTAGGTTGTTTCCAGTTTCTGAGTATTATGAACAAAGCACCTATGAACATAATTGAGTAAGTACCCTTGTGGTAGGATGGAGCATCCTTTGGATATTTGCCCAAGAGTGGTATTACTGGGTCTTGAGGTAGATTGATTCCCAGTTTTGTTTTTTTTTTTTTGAGAAGCTGCTATATTGATTTCCATAGTGGCTGTACAAGTTTGTGCTCCCACCACCAATATAGGAGTGTTCCCCTTGCTCCACATCCTTACCAGCATGAGGTGTCACTTGTGTTATTGATCTTAGTCATTCTGACATGCACAAGATGGAATCTCAGAGCAGTTTTTTTATTCTTTTTTAATTTAATATTTTTATTTTATAATTAACTTAATTTCACATATCAGCCATGGATTCCCCTGTCCTCCCTCCTCCCACCCCCAGCTCTCCTCCCCATACACCCCCCCATTCCCACCTCCTCCAAGGCAAGGTCTCCCCTGAAGAGTCAGCCCAGCCTGGTAGACTCAGGCAAGGCAGGTCCAGTCTCCTCCTCCCTACACCAAGGCTGAGCAAAGAGTTCCAGCATAGGCCCCAGGCTCCAAAAAGCCAACCCATGCACCAAGGACAGGTCCCAGCTCCACTGCCTGGGGGCCTCCCAAACAGTTCAAGCTAATCAACTGTCTCACTTATCGAGAGGGCCTGATCCAGTTCCATGGGTGCTGCCCTGTAGACTACTGGCAATGGTCGAGAGAGTGCCTGAGCTGACCTGCTCTGGTGATCGGATGTCGGAACACCCTGGCTGTCATGATAGAACTCTCATCCAGTGTCTGATGGAAGCGGACGCAGAGATCCACAGTCGAGCCCCAGGTGGAGCTCTGGGAATCCAATTGGCAAGAGAGAGGAGTGAGAGTAAGAGCGAGAGATATTGAAACCATGATTGGAAAAGCACAGGGACAAATAGCCAAACTAGTGGAAACGTATGAACTGTGAATCAAAGTAGTTTTGATTTGCATTTACCTTATGACTAAGGATGTTGAACATTTCTTAAGTGTTTCTCAACCATTTAAGTTTCCTCTACTGAGAATTCTCTCTTTAGGTCTGTACCCTATTTTTAATTGTATTATTTTTCTTGATATCTAGTTTCTTGTGTTCTTAATATATTTTGAAGTTATCCTTCTATCAGATGTAAAGTTGGTGAACATCTTTTCCTATTCTGTAGGACTGTTATTTTGTCCTATTGATGGTGTTCTTTGCCTTACAGAAACTTTTCAGTTTCATGAGTTCCCATTTATTAATTGTTGATCTTAATGTCTGTGCTATTGGTGTACCATTCAGGAAGTTCTTCAGATAATATAAATCTTTTGTGATTTTGTGAATTTATTATGTGAGTACTATATAAAATTTACTTAATTTTACTCTTCTAGCTTCTCTTATATCCTTTCAACTTCTCGGCTTTGAGACATCTTCTATAATTATTATTGCTTTACACACACACACACACACACACACACACACATATATATATATGCAAATACATACACATACATGTATATACACACTATATACATATATTCACACACACACACACACACACATATATATATATATATATATATATATATATATATATATATATAAAAAATACATTCATATGTATGACCTACTGAGCCCACTTATTGTTTTTCTATGTGCATGTGCTTACGGCTGTCCAATTGTGATTGGAAAACCTATCAGGTTGCTTGTTACTCAAAAAGAATGATTCTGCCTCTCTCAGCAGCCATTGATTTCCTGTAGATCTTCTGTAGGGATAGAGCCTTATGAAACTTCTTCCATCTATGCAGGCCTGTTGACTGGTATTGTCATTATACAGGTCTTATTCAAGTAACTATATTTTTGAGATTTCATAGATATAGCTGCATCTCTGTGATGTCTAGGAGTCACTATATAAGCAAGAGTCTTTTGTGTAGACTGTATTTTACTGGAGCTGCAGTTAAGTGCAGAGAGTAGAGGCTTTTTCTGTCATCATTTTTCCTTCTGCTTCTGGTATATGCAGCTCTTTGCTCCTCCCCTTCTTCCTTTTCCTTCTTAAAAATATATGCTATCATTTTCTGAGACACTTTTCCATAAGCAAGTGCCTATCATTGGGAATTCAGAGCTCCCAGATCACCCATCTCTTCTTATAACTGTTAGCTAGCATTCTGCAGTTTATTCCCTGGAGATTTTAGAAGAGCATCCCTGCATATCATCACCCATCTTGGATCCAGCTGGGAGAAATCTTGTCTCCAGGGAACCTTTATTAATTTCTAGATGTTTGCAGTTGTCATAATGGAGGTAAATGGCAGAATTCACTGGTATCTAGTCTGTACAGTCTGCATATGATAGTAACCTTCCACAACACACATAACTGCTCCCGCAAAGAACTGGCTACCCTAGAATGCTAATAGTGTCCATTTGAGAGGCCCTGTGCTGAAGAACACAACTACACAGCATGTCATATTCTAACAAGAACCCTCCTTGAGCTGATTCTAGTTATTGTGTTCCTTGAGTACAATAATAAACAGAAGAACTGAATGAGTGGGGCAGCTTGAAAGAATTAAGAAGCAAACCCTACACCATGTTTCAGAACATGAGACAAATGATGAAATTTTATCAATAGAATATCAATAAATAAAAGCCTTCCTTAGAAAATTGTTTAGCCATCATGTCTGATGTACATGGATATACAGTACCTTCTCCCAAAGGTCCACTGTAGAAATTAAATTTAGAAAATAAAATTTATAAAATTAGTCACATGACTTGATCATAGTATTTCAAAATTACACATCTGTATTCTTTAGTCTTAATATGCATTTTATAATACAATTCACCCTTTTAAACCATAATTTTAAGGTATTATAGCTATTATTGTTTCATTTAGCATATTAATAGTATACATTTTTCAAACAAAGATCTGAAAAATGAGTCCACACACAAATGGCATTAAAAAATAAAACCTTAGTATCTTGTAATCACTTTCTTAAGGACTACAAATACAAGAATTTTCTGGTGTCTGAGAATGCTCACAAACCAGTACCTACAATACCAGAATCATAACCCAAAGCATTTTAATTGGTCTGTTTTTATGCTGTGGAAAGCTTCTGAAGCCAAGTTAAAATTAAAAGAAAATCCAGACTTTATTATAACTGTCAGCACCTGAAAACTAGACAAAAATGTGTGGGTGTTTGGAGATTGTTTTTTTAAGAAATATCGGGCAAAGTCTATTTTAGTGCACAATCCCCTTGGAGAAGTAACTTGTCAATTATGCTGAGTAGTGGTGTGGTTTTGAATGTGTGGAAAGCAGACATGGACTGACCCCAGCCTCCTTAAAGCAATGAGCTCAGCTGGTTGTAAACCCAGATCCCGAGGCTGCACAGGCGCTCCCCCCCACCCCGCCTTAACTCACCCTGTGTGTTTCCTCCTACTGATGTCCTACACTGTTCTTTCTAAGACAGATTCCATCAGTCACAAGTGAGTGTCCTTGGCGTTAGAACTTTACAAAATGTCATTGCAATTTAAGAAGCAGTGATCAAAAGTAACGATCTCATATCACCAGGAACCAGCTCTAGTTTTCTACACTAATCCAAAATACATAAAGAACACCATGTTCAAAGGACTATTTTGTGTAAGATTTTACTTTTAAGTCTGATGAATTTGTGAGTAAAAAACTATTCTTTTGATCTGGGTGCAGTAGATGTTACTTCCTATCTGAACATAGTTGGTGGAATAGATAATGAATTAGATTGGAATGTAAAAACTTAGAAGGTACAAGATAATAATTTCTCTAGAAGTCTGCTCTCAGGAAAAGTTACATTTTAAAAAATTGCAGGCTCTATATCATTAGAACTAGGCTGAAAAGGAAAAATAGTGGTAGCAACTTGGTTGGGATGGAAATCCTTTCCTTTGAAACACCATGGTTCTATCGCTTCAGCCATTAGGGAACTTAAACATTTTATTGGTTAAGTTTTATTTTTCCTTGATATTTTTAATTTTAAATATATATTATTAACATAATAATTTTTAATTATTTTGTTTATTCTTTCCCCTTCAGAGAAGCTTAGCAGAGCTACCAATTTCATGGGCATCTATAGCATCTGATGATGTGCTTCGGGCAGAAACCTGAATATGGGACTCTGTGGTTAAAAGTTTATGACTATATACAGCCATTGAATTTCTTCCCTTGAGGTCAGTATCAAATATATTCAAAGTAGAAATGCTTTCCAAACAAATTTAATTCTGAGCATGAAGTGAAAAATTAATAAATCAATATGTTTGTGTATATGTAGATATATATACATCAATTTATATGATAAAATAACAGTAATAAAAATATTGTGCAAATAAGAGTGATATTTGTCACATATTCATATATCTGTTTTAAGGGAAAATTCAAACCTTCTAGCTTTGCTTGCTCATAGTTGGCTTAAATTAAGTCACCGATTTTAGTAGTCACACAGTGAAGCAATGTATTACTAGCTCCTATTGGCTTTGCTACAGAAGACACTACCTATTGATGCCATGGAATCTATCAATACCCATTCTCCAACCAATGTCATTCCTATCATCCAGTGAAAAGAAGCTTTTCATTATCTTCCCAGGTGCTCTAAAGGAAAAGATGTCTTTTGTGCCCTAATAATTAATTTCAAAGTTAATTACTCCAGTGAAAAAGAACTAAAAGAATATAGAGCATGAGCCTTTGTAATCAGAAACTTATCTTTAGGTTGACAGACCCAGAACATCCGTGACCTGAGTGTAATAGCAGAGGGTGTGGGGGGAAGCAGACAACCCCATATTTATCACAGCCTAATTTTCCAAATAAATCCTTTCCCTCACTTAGCTTGTCTCTGAGCACTGGCCTTTTCAGGTAGCAAGCAATAAACTTAGGTTCATATTTTCTTATCTTTATACTTGACTAGTTAAAAAAATAATAATTTGAAAATGTTATTTGGAAACATTTCCATTTGATCATTTTATTACCAAGTTGTAACAAAATTGGTGTTTGGATCTTAATATTTAAATCCAAACTTTCAATGTACAGATTTTTTTGTGGTTATACAAGTTAAATTGCACTGGACACTCATAACTTTATGATTAATGTTCTTTCAGATGTCATCCACATATTTTTAAGATTTCACTTACTGAATAGGGCATTCTGAAATAGCCAATGAAGATTTATTAGCAATTTTAAACAAAGAATAAGTAGTCATTAGCTACTTAGCTTGTGTTCTTGTTGCACCCTTTCATGTAAGAGGTTATACTGTCATAACTCAATGGAATTGAGAAAGAGAAATATTGAATACATTCTTTGCTATTGAAACTCAAAATCAGAAAAGTACCTAGCTGTAAAAGAGACCTGGAAAATATATATCTATCTGGCCAGTGATTTTCCTATGCTTGCTAGAAGATGCAAAGATATGTAGTTTTAGCAGCTAATACTTTCCACCATGCAACCTTTTTATTTTAAATATCAATTAAATGATCTCCTTTTCTAGGGTAGTTCTTGCCATCTGGAAGTTCCATGCAAATATATCCTCTTTAGACTTACATCGTTGGATTTCTATTCCCTCATCTGCAACGAGAGTGGTTATGCTGGGTAACCTCCTATCTTTGTTTATCTAAGACTTACAAGACTCATGAAAGGACACCACAGGAAAAGGTAATACATAGTAATTTCAGCCTTCACTTTATATGTTGTATATCACTCTTCCAATATTATATATACCATAGGATTTTTATATACTTTGTAAAAGTAAAACATTCTAATTATGATCCGTAAAATGATTATCTTTGTCATGTTTAATCATGAAGAACTTGGTATTTCATATTAGTAATTTGGATTATTATTGCTTTGGGTTTTGATATTGGACTTGCAAATTCTATAAGTCCCAGGCTCTACAAAAAATGTACTCAAACAAACTTATGATATCTATGTCTTTTTTCTTAAATGAAGGAGAGCATTATAATAATTCTGCCTATCTTTTGTATCTGTGGTTCTAAAACCTGAGAAGAATGTGTTCCATGTGATCTTGTGAGACCACAGAACACTACAGCACTGAAGGAATTTAATTCATAGTCCATATATTAATGTGTGTATCCACACAACAATTAGAATCTAAATGGAATTATAAGAATTGAGAATTCTTTCCATTTCTCAGTGGTCTGAGTGGTTGTATCTAGAAAAACACTGTAGCCATGGCAACTGGATGTTCAACTTGTAACTTTTGCTTTTTATTTACATTGTTATGATTTATAATCACACTAATGACCTCCCAGTTAGACATTTTCTGGCCATTAATAGTAGGCTCCATTAAAGGCCTCTGGTTTCACCAGAGACCACGAATACTTTCAAGTTGTTTATTAATACTATGAAAATATCAACCCTGAAGGTCATTATTGCTTAAATAATGCCTTGAAACATTATGCAAGGTGAGCAATTAGCTTTAGTTTTTGATGATTTTATAACGTGTGTCTCAGCACCATGATCAGACAAAATAAAAATAATAATGAAAGCCCAGATGTGCAGTGAAACTGAAGGAAAGGTAAAAATTTCTCTCCAGGTTGTTGGCCTTTTAAAAATATCTTTGAGACTTTAAGGATGTGAGAGGTATAGACAGTCTAGAATTACTAACTTTCTTAATAGTCCTTAGACTCCCATTAAGATTCCACCCACTCTTCTTAGAACTGTCTGCCCCAGAATACATTCCCTGCTGTGTTAATTACCTTGAAAAGTCAAGAGTATCATCGGCCTGTTTATATTAATTATCCATAGTGGTCACAAGTGAGGAAAAAATAACCAAAAATTAATGTAGAAAGCTCTTGAGTTCTACTGTGAACAATCAATTGGATTACTTATAATTTTTAGAAGTCATTTCTGTTTTACTCCTGAAAAAGCAGCATATGCTAAGCAAGGAGCCATTGAGGCCACATCAACATTTTTCTTCCTTGCTCTCATTGTACATATTTACCTACTTCATTAAAATCTGTAATCCAGTCCTCATATCTTCTCCCCTTGAGACAAGCTGTTTATAAATTGCTTCCTTATTGAAAAATGACCATCTTCTGTAACGTGTTCTTTCCATAGCCATTTCCTCTAATCATTCCTTCAACAGTAGTTACTGAAACTCTAGGTTACAGTCTCAACTGCGTTGTCCCTTCCGTCCTTCATTCTGTGCTCCACTTAGTCTCCCAGTAACCCTCCCATCTCTGCCACATGACTTTAGCTAAAGCTTCCAGTGACCAATAAAGTCTCACCACCATGACTGCCCTAAACAGGAGCTGAATAAAGATGACATCAATAGACATGCCAAAGTAGACCGCAAAAACCCAATCCTACACAATGAACTCCAGGTGACAAAGAATGCTGGGAGTTGGGGAAATAGTCTTCCCCAGGGAAGAGCACACCAACTGGTTATCCAATACCAAATGATAATCCCATAAAACACATAAATAACATTATACAGATTATATTTAGGAATATATATGTATACAATATGAGAAATGCATGTAACAACAATTAATGGAAAGAGAGAAAGGAGGAGTATATGGCAGGGTTTGGAGTACAAAGGGGAAGGGAGAAATGATGTAATTATATTATGATCTCAAAAATAAAATTAAAATAAAAAGCTTCCAAGGACATGCTCATTACTATTTTGAATGGAAATTTCTCACTTCCTTCCTTATATGCTCTCTCATATCCACTATTATCACATTACTACCCTTTTCTTTTAAATGATACAGATTTATATTATCAATCCTCTGTTATTACAAAATTCTCAACAGAATTCCATTCTTACCATCCTTTAAATTCTTATAAGAATCACCTTTTCTTATCTCTCTATACTTCCTCTAGGTGATTTATCGCAATAGTGTACATTCAAATGTAGATGTAACCTTCTTGTTAAATAAGAAACACAGAGCCCGTGCAGAGATGAAAGCCCAAGAGGTCAGAGTAATAACTAAGCGCTAAAAACCTTACCCTTCACTGCCGCTCCTGTCCTTCCACCCACAAGAGACCTCCTTCCTGTATCTCTGTCTTCTTATAGACTTTCTGTTCTGCCTTCTCATTGGTTGTAAACCCAACCACATGACCTCCTTGTCACTGCCCATCTATACAGACCTCTAGGTCTTCTATGGTTGGTATTGAGATTAAAGGCGTGTGTCTCCATGCTGATGGTATCCTTAAACACACAGAGATCTTCCTGTCATGTGATCAGGATTAAAGGTGTGTGCTACCACTGCCAGACTTCTGCTATGGCTTGCTATTAGCTCTGACCCCCAGGCAACTTTATTTATTAACATACAAATAAAGTCACATTTCAGTACAAATAAAATATCACCATATTCAAATACTATTTATATTTAAGCAGTGCATTTGAATTTCAGCTACTCTTCTGACTCAGCTCTGTATATTCTTACATTTCCTGTAAATGCACATATGATTTTCACTATCAGTTAATTATCCATTATCCTAAGATTCCTTTTTATTTGTATATTGCTTCTCACTGAGTGATACTTCCATCTACCAACTTAGAAACACAGAAAGCACCCTTTATTTCTCTTTTCTCTCACCACTCATATCTATTCTGTAAATGCTAGCTTGTTAACATTTCAAAAATTTACACCACCTAAGAGAAGACTACAGCCATTGTGAGATGTCTTTTTCTGTTTAGATCCAGGGTACCAAAGTGTACTAAATCTGTAATCAAATAATGATCTTCTCAATATGCATATCTTATCCTCTTCTTTTGCTTCATATAATGACTTGATATTTTCACATAAGTCTATGTTTAAGTTTTTGCCATGTTTAGAGAACAGGTCAAATGTTAGACTAGAAGCCCCATGTGGGCAAATTCCACTCTTCCTAGTTGCCATTTTGTTTTTAGTGTATCTAACCAGGGCCAGGAGAAGCTGACATACTGATTGTTTCATTTTTCAGCACCACACATTTATTTTCTGGACAAGTCTCCAATCCTACCTCATTTTTAGCCATTTAAAACAGAAATGGTTTGGCCTTTTCTGCATATGCCACTTTGTTGTAGCTTGTGAGTTTTTGCAGGCTTTGCTCAGAAGCCTCTCTTCACTCACTCACCCAAACATATTCACTTGTCTTTTATGATTCACCTTAAATAGTATGTCTCCTGGGAGGTTTCTGTGAAATGACAGCTCACATATAGTTTTTACATTCTTAATCCATAATAACTTTAATTCCTGAGTATACGTGTATCTGTTTCACCTATAAAACATGTGTGATATGTATTCAATTCCCTGTGCATTTTATTAATAAAAGTCTCATTAAATGATATTTTTAAGTAAAAAGAACAGACTACAAATATGCAACATTAATGTTGGGCCAAGATTTTTTGTGTGAATGTTTTACACACACACACTATATTTCTGAAGTACACTACAAATACTATGTATTTTATATAGCAGATTTAGTTAAGGGGATTTTAAAAAGCCAACTAGACTGAATTTTACTTAAAAAGGAATTGAATTTTTACAATCTTTTGTCTCTAGTATAAAGCATTTTTAATAGGCATTTGTTAGTTATTGAAAAATGTTTATTATTCAATTACTAAGGTTTAGAATTTATGGGTTCTTGCAATAGGACTCCTGTTGCAGCCCTACTCTATTTTCCACATTTATGTTTTATTTCTCAAAGGTCATGAAGCTGATGAAGCAAAAGGGGGGATTCACATGACTATGCAATCAAATCACTTAGTGCTTTTCAACATAGAAAACATCAATTAAGCCCCAAGTATGGTGGCTCAGTCCTACAATCTGAGCATTTTAGAGGTTGAGAGAGGAGGATTTTCAAGAGTTCAATGACAGCTGGACTTTGTAATAAATTCCAAGTAAAACTAGGTTAGAGTGACTTCCTGCTTCAAACCCTAAACCAAAGCAAGCCAAACAAAACTGAACCACAAAAAATCTCCATGAAAACAAAAGTAAAACAAATGAAAACACTAATAATATATAAAAATTAATTTCAATTGTACCTCTAAGAATTTTGTCCCAGAAAACATTTAACTAGGCATAAGTAGACAAATCTTAGAGTTAATTTTACTTTAAGATTTTTGTGGTAGCATGTTTATCAGTTCTTGAATTCTACTTGTTCTTTCTAGCATTTAATTGTGGTTTAGTTTATGGTGATGCTGTCTTTGTGATGACAAGAGACTCTCCGTTCTGGTCTTTGTGTAGAATATCCTTGTAAGTAGAAGAGCATATCTGTTGGATAAATACCATTCATAGGGATGGATAACAGTGAATGTTCATAAATGGTAAGAACTACGTGTAAATACCTTGCCAAACATCTTAAGATATCCACGACACTTCTCTAGCTGCAGTTTAGTGAATATTATTTGAATAAAATAAAAAGTGTGTAAACTTCATTTCAAGATTTATTAACCAATACTTCTATGAACTCCAAATATTTCACAATTTTATCCATTTTCTTTTTGATCTAAATGTTTTGTTGTGATATTTCCCCTTAGGTTTCAAGAGTAATTTTGTCAGTAATGTCCATAAGAACTCGTTAGCCAGACTGTGCCTTAATTTTAATTTTATATTTGCAAAGGAATGGAGAAAATTTAACCATGTCCTTTATCTAAGAAAAAGATATATTTTCTTTGTATCCATCTCATCTCACAT